ACCCCATCACCACATCACCTCATCACCACATCACCACATAACCACATCGCCTCATCACCACATCAACACACCACCGCATCACCGCATCACCACACATCACATCACCACATCACCGCATCACCGCATCACCGCATCACCACATCACCGTATCACCTCGTCACCACATCACCACATCACCACACCACCTCATCACCACATCACCGCATCACCGCATCACCGCATCACCACACCACCACATCACCACATCACCTCAGCACCTCATCACCACGCCACCACATAACCACATCACCACATCACCTCATCACCACACCGCCACATCACCACATGCCCTCATCACCTCATCACCTCATCGCCACATCACCTCATCACCACATCACCTCACCACCTCACCACCGCATCACCGCATTACCGCATCACCTCATCACCTCATCACCACATCACCTCATCACCTCATCAACACATCACCTCATCACCTCATCACCACATCACCTCATCACCACACCACCTCATCACCACATGACCACATCACCACACATCACCGCATCACGTCACCACATCACCTCTTCACCACATCACCACATCACCTCATCACCACATCACCTCATCACCTCATCAGCACACCACACATCACCACACCACCACATTACCACATCACCACATCACCTCATCACCACATCACCGCATCACCACATCACCGCATCACCTCATCACCACACCACCACATGACCGCATCAACACACATCAGATCACCACATCACTTCATCACCGCATCACTACACATCAGATCACCACATCACCGCATCACCACATCACCTCATCACCTCATCGCCACATCACCTCATCACCTCATCACTACACATCAGATCACCACATCACCGCATCACCTCATCAGACTTGTGATAGATTGAAGTTTGAGATGAACCACCCTGCCTCCTGGGAACCGACTTGTCCAGTTTTCAGCCTGAGGGATTGACTTGGGAGTTTCAAGCCCTCTGCCTGGTCCTACTGTAGCCATTAAAACTTAAACTTTTGTGTGGCAGGATGCAGTCTTGAGTGGCAGGATGCTTAAACGCGACAAAACGCGACGGTCGACTATGACTAAGGGAAAGCAGCGTACTGTAGGGTTCACTTTTCACTTGTCACCCTGTCAACCCAAGGGTTTCTTTATGGGACCTCCGGGAGTCCAAAAACAAAAATAGAAAGCACACATTCCTGAGACAAACACATACTGTGGAGAAGAGCACATAGCATGTTTCATGCATATTCACAATGTTCGGTACCAAGGGTTCTTCCACGAGGTGTGGGTTTGTCTCCGGGATTTCGTTTTCTTTTGGTGGAGGAGGGCAGTTTTGAGAAGGAACCGTCAGTTTGGGGAAATGCTTCGTTCTGGGAAAATCCTTTGATTGCTGGGAAATTTGTGAGGGAATACTTCCAAATACTCCTCCCTTTTGGGAAACCACACCAGCAGCCCACAACCTGCAATGCGACGCGCGACGAACACATGCCCACATGGTGTGCGGGCCTATCTCCGGGTTCCCAGGAGTTTTGAACCCGCATGTGTCACAAGGAAATGATGTATGCATATGCATACATGTATTTGAAATGTTGAATATAAAAGCATTCGGGCACTTAAACATTAAATTTGGTTTCCTGCGATTCCCAACGGGCATTCCGACATCCTGACAATCTCCATGACATTTTTTTGACATTCTGACATTCTGACATTCTAGCTGACGTATACTTTGACATTTTATCAAAAAAAATCCTGGCACTTTATTTGGCATTCCATTTTACATTTTAAATTTTATTTGTCATTTGTTCCGGCATTCTATTTGGCATTTTATTTGACATGTTGTTTGGCATTGCATTTGGCATTTTATTTGGTATCTATGTTGCATTTTATAACATATATAACATTTAGCATTCTATATGGCAGCGGTCAGCGCCTTAATTAAGAGGATTTGAGACAGATATACCATTGAGAATGTCGAAAACACTTCATCCAGACCTCTCTGTGTTTTTGTACGACTGGTGCGGCTTTCGTTCGTTTTGCGTTCGGGTGGTCCCCATTGTCAGCGCTGCCATGAACGAACCAGACATTTACACCTTGGGTTTTGCTATGGGTGATCCCTCATCCCCTGCGAGGCGAGAAAGACGGTGGCAACGCAGGATGTGATTCAGGTGCACCTTTTTGACCATGGTTTGGTAATTTGGAATGGTGATGTAAGGATATATGATAAGGGTCAACACATATTCAGCAAATCCCTAGCAACCTCGTGAACATGACGAAAAATAAAATCCATCCCCGCATGTTGCACCGTTTGAGGGATGAACATCCAGGGGATGGAGTGAAGTGACCAAGCAGTTGATTTTTCGATATTTTTGGGAGTGGAATCTGAAATCAGCCAAGGATGGGTCAGGGATGATCATTTCCTTACCGAGTGCATCCAACTGCCTCATATTCATTTAATTTCATGTATATTATTCTAGTGTGTATAATTGTATATATATATATATATTTATATATTACGCACACACACTTATATAATATATTTATCAAATATACACATTATATTATCAAAATAATACTCCTATGCTTGTCCCTTATTTGAGGATATTTTTCCTAGAAGCCGGGGTGCTGACTTGGGGGCCCGCTATCCAGGACGAGGAGCATCGGTGGGGAAGCTTATGGAATCCAGCTGGGAAACTTGCACCCTCCAAGAAGGCTGACATAGATATGGAAGACTCACCTATGTTCTATTGTAAGCTTGGTGATTTGTTGATGTACAGCGAGGTATGGTTTAGAATTCGGCCTACCGCCATGTAATTTTAATATATATATATATACATGGGGGGTCTGCAATGAGGAAGTCATGTTTCAGGCACATTTGTGACTATTTTCTGCCCGGAACGATGCGACATCCGCCGCACAGAGGCCACGTCAGCACAAGGCCTGAAGCTGGCCACTCCACGAGAAGGGAGTGGCGATGCCAAAGGTGCAAAAAGCTTTGAAGAGGAGCGATGGTTGGCCATGGACCAATGAACAGTCACTTGCTCATGAAGGTCTGATTGGAGAGAAGGATCAAAGTGAATGTGGTGGTCATCATGATCTATACTAACAAACCTGCGGATATCTATGTAGAACCTTGGATATCAGGGATGGGTCTCGCTATGTATGGATGTCTGACAGCGTCCATGGATTGAAGCGCGCCTTGTCCGTGAGTGCCTGCAACGTCTGCACCGTCAAGGTGGACAATTGAACTGCCCTTATTGCTGCGCTTGGAAGCAAAGCACGCAGGCACCAACTCTGCCTCGCACAGACACAAACGACGGCCAAAGCCACCAAAAACATCTGATGCCTCCAGCGCTGGAGAGACACTACTGGAACTTGACTTAGCGTCGACAAAAAAAACTTTGGTTCCAAAGATCTCCGCCATGGCATTTGAAGGTCATCTATATGGCTTCTGACATTCTGTGTGGCATACTTTCTGACATGTTATCTGGCATATTTTCTGAAATTCTATCTGGCATACTTTCTGTCATTAAGTCTGGCATGCTTTCTGCCATTCTATCTGGCATACTTTCTGACGTTCTATGTGACATACTTCCTGCCATTCTATCTGGCTTATCTTCTCACATTCTATCTGGCCTAGTTTGTGGCATTCTATCTGGCAAACTGTCTGACATTCTATCTGGCAAACTTTCTATATTGTGCTGCCGGGCACAGAGGTCAGAAGCTCACCGTGTAGTGTCCGGGTCCGGCAGTGCCAACAGAGATTAATTAGGCGGTCGCCGTATGATATGGTGTCCAGCTCCGCCATTGGCATTTGGAGCTCTCAGTGTTGTGTTTCAGTCTGGCAATGCCGACAGACATCTGGAGCAGACCATATGACGAGAAGGACAACGACAAGACGAGAAGGACATGAGCACGAGGAAGAGGAGGAGCAGGAAGAGAAGAAGATCGTCCATAGAATCTAACAACTCTCACCTGGCATGTAGGCAAAAAACTTCCAGGGAAATACCTCACACTGGGCACTCACAGAAAGTGGCGAAAATGAGCACTGCCGTCTTGCTCCGCGACTGCATGCAAGTTCGAATTATATACAGTTTCAAATTAAAGCACCACACAGGCGCAACTCCCCGCCCCCCACACCCCCCTGCGATCAAAGTTGGTGACACACATCTGTGAAAGCTTGCTGGGAGGAAGCACCACCATGGAACAACATTGATCCTAGGGGGGCGCGGGAGGCGAGACGAAATTGCTTCACAACGCACTGGACTTCTCAGCACTCTAGTGGCTTTCAAGGACGAAATTGTTTCACAAACTTCTCAGTATTCCAGTGGCTTTCAGGGACGAAATTGTTTCACAACGGACATTGGACTTCTGAGTACTCCAGTGGCTTTCAAGGACTTCTCTCTGCTGCATTTCCGATCTCAATGCCGTTGACGGCTGGAAAGCCTTGAGAACGGAAGCGAGTCACATTTCTGCCTCCTGATAGGATCCACATTGCGAAACAATTCACACAGCATGGTATTGATCGTATCTCCTCAATCCGCCGTTGAAACAAGTATATCTGGAGCCGGTTGCGGAGCATGCTCAGCTCAGTTTCAGTCAGTTTCCCACGGGCTGTGTGTAACGCCGCAAAACTGCATGTCATGAAGTGCGGTTGCTGCGGTTTGTATTGCAGGTGGCTCCCATATGTGTTCAAAGGCCGTGCAACTGTTATCGTCGTTCCTTCCAGCCAGCACAACAAAGTCGGGATGTCCAATATGTCCGGGTTTGGCCGAAAATCGTCAAGGACGACAACTTCACAGGATGGCAGCGCCAACAAGGGGCAGGAGCCTTTCACCGGTCCATTGAATACCTGCAGAGCGCGGGCGGCGGAACAGGCCAGTCATGGATCCACAAGTTACACTGTAAGTGCTGGTCACAAAACAAAAAAATTGCCTTCAATACTGACCCCCCTGCCCAAATGTTCACCAAAATGGAATCCCTTCACTGACAGACGGCTGGAAACACATTCACTGAATTCATGTTGAGAAGCTCTGTAAATTTCTGCAAGTGGTCTTAGTAAGAAACTCTTTCCTTCGTTGCCATAGCCAGCAAAGGTTAGCACCTGACCCTTGGTGTGAAGGCCCTTCAGCAGACATCTCTTGATATCGTCCGTCACCTGTTTTTCATCAATACGGTTCACTCGGAGAATCTGCCGGGCAGCACTAACCCAGTCTCTGCCACATACACATGGTGCAGTGAGGCAAGATGTGAACTTCTGCCACACGCTCTGCTCACCAGCTTGGATGATGCTGTCGCAATCCTCCAGCTGCCGGCATAACATGACCTGCCAAAGAGACCCAAACAAACTTCATGTACGTCTAAATATTTCGACAGTTTCAGGTCCATTTCAAGAGTCATGGCCCATCTCCTGGTCTGAAACAATTATCAGCTCCTCTGACGAATCTGATACTTTATAATGATCTCTGTACTCACTTTCAACAGCGACACACCGCCTTCTCCCGCAAGCTTGCACGGTGCTTGAAGACATAGGTCAGCATTCCCAGTTCGGCGACCATGCTGCAACAGCTTTGGGATGAGCAAAGGGTCTGAGTCCGTCAGCTTCAAGGCCGTGATGATTGGCCAAAGATGAATGTCCTAAGATGCAACTGGGTGGAGCATGCGTACCAAACATTGGAAGGCGATGAAGGCATGCCCAACTTGCCAGCCCCAGTCAACGCCCACAACAGTTTCAATACCTCAAGGTACTACTTGATAATTTGATGTGCCATGAATGCCCCGCAGCCACCTACGCAGCCGAGACACCATGAATCTCCCAGGTCCTGCCTTCCCACCTTGAGCACGTTGAAGGAATTTCTGTTCAATCGACAAAGAAATGGCTTCGGCATCCAGTGTTCCTTGTATTGCGTCCATGAGCGGCGGATGTCGCCCGTTGCAGTGGTAGATTAATGGCTCCGGGTCTAGGCAGCACAACGGTTTCGCACGACTTGGGGCCCAGCAGTACTTGAGCATTGATTCATACTGACTCATACTGACGTTTCCGCTGCTTGGCGATGCCCTGCAGTTCCACGTGGTTGAAATTGGCATTGATATTGTGCTTCAGCAATGCCCGTTTCCACGGTAGCCACCTGATACGTGCTGAGAGGCAGCATGCAACATGAAAATGCAATTTGCCAGATTTGTGCGGTTCTCGAAATATAGCCAAGTGCGTCACCTTGCCCTCGCTGTATTCGGCAGCTGCGAACGCTTTCAGCATTGTCCTCTGCAATTCTTCTCGGGTAGGAGCCTCGGTCGGAGACAAACCACTGACTGTGATCAGATAAGCTTTCTGCCAAGTTCTGCTGTCAATCTGGACAACCTGCACTTCATCCATCTCCTCAGACTTGGATTTCGCTTGGACAGTACTGACCAGGCGACGTGCTAGCTCCCGAGGAACCTGTTTCATAGCAGCCGCGATGAAATCATCGCGCTTATCAGCTAGCTCTTCCGCTGTGACCTTGCCACCTGAGGTGGTCAAAACATCTTCTAACACAGTTGCAATTTTCAGACCATGAAGCTCTTCGTCGCTCTTGCTTTGCAACACTGAGACAAGAAGCTGGTTAATAGCCTTCTGCGTCAAAAAGGCAAACCGATGGGCCGGGCACGAGTCATCTGCCAGCACTTCCCCATCAACTGGACTGAGCTGCTGCTCTGCTACATCCGTCTCTGCCACCTCATCCAAAGGCAGCTGCAGATCTGCCACGTCCATGTCTGCCCTTTGAAATTGCATTGCCATGTCCAAGTCTTCCATGTCCATGCTGACACGGTCTGCATCCTCAGTCGCATCCTCATCCCGAAATAAATTGCGAGCAGGCTGCTTGCCATTGAGTCGACGGCGCTTCATAGAGCACCGCACACATGTGCTACATTTTTTAAACAACTGGGCCTGCGAGCCAAAACGCTCACTTGCATCAGGTCTCGCCGTCGGTGCCCTGCTAATGTCAACCCCGGATTAATAAACCATAGTTTGCTTATTTGGGGGGGTACCATTTCAGTAGCCAATTACTATTGTTTTGGGACACCACTACAATTAATTAACCAGGGTTTATTAATCCGGGGTTGACATTAACACGTTGCAAAAGGAAACAGGACTTGCGCAAACTGTTTCTCTGGCAACCTCTTCGCAATGAAGCCACAAATACCTGCAAAACAAAACCAGCAGTACTGATGGATATCTGTGGATGCCTGTGGATCTGATTGTGGGTCTACGGATATTGATGGACATCCATGGATGTCAGTGCCTATGTATGGACATATTATGGAGATCTATAAATATGTGGATATTTAGCTACATGGGGCAATATGTTTGTACACCTTGAACCTCTCGAACAAACCTCGCAGAAACCAAATTATAGAACCAAACGGGTGGCTACAGGGGTAATCAAATGGCAGACCGTGTGGCTTGCATGTGGACCCAGAAATTGAAATCTGGGAAACGACTAGTTGAACAAAGTCACACACACACATCAACCAGGCAAAAGCCAAAAGGCTTTCAGAGCAGAGACTGATTCTCACATTGAAACCGAGCATGCTTTGGTTCAAATACCAGGCGGTAAGCTCAGCTATTCCAAAATCACGGGTTCAGAGCTGTTCATCCAACCCACCTGCAGGCCTGCATAGGCCGAGGCGCGCCACCGCCGAAGCCGGCCAAAAGCGCGCATGCAATAGCAGCCGCGCACCAGCCAGCTGCCAACGCGCGCTGCTGCAAAATGAAAAGGTGGGATACCCACCGGCAGAGTCACAACAGCCACCAGCTGCACTTCGTGCCCAGGTGCGCTGCTGCAGGTAGGGTGGGATAACCACCTGCAGATCCAGAACAGCCACCAGCTGCAATGCTTGCCCAGGTGCGCTGCTGCAAAATGGTAAGGTGGGATAACCACCGGCAAAGCCAAAAACAACCACCAGCTGCACTAGCTGCAATGCGTGCCCAGGTGCGCTGCTGCAAAATGGTAAGGTGGGAAAACCACCTGCAGATCCAGAACAGCCACCGGCAAAGCCAAAAACAACCACCAGTTGCACTATACGTGCCCGGTGCGCTGCTGCACAATGAAAGGGTGGGATAACCACCTGCAGATCAACAACAGCCACCAGCTGCACTGCGTGCCCAGTTCCCGCAGAAGTTGTGACATATGGTTCGATATGGTGGCTAGCTATATCGATGGATATCTATCGATATCTCTGGGTATCCGTGGATATGCCTTCTGCTTTTATCTATGGCTATTTGTGGATATCGAAACTCAAATATAAGTACACATTTGTATGGAAATATATTTAAATAAATATTTAAATAAATAAATAAATAAATATATATACATCAGCGGCTATCTATGGAAAACCGATGGATATGTCTGGAAATCAATGGGTATTGATGAATCATCTGCATGGAAATCTGTGGATGTGTCTGGGGGCTCATGGATAATCATGGGTGCTTCAGTGACTCTGCATGCAATACGGCGGTGGCAAACCAGCTGCAGGCTTGCGTAGACCCAGGCGCACCACTGCGAACATCCGCACATAGCAGCCGCGACATTAGCAGCTACTTGCAACCACCAGCTGCACTATACGTGCCCAGGTGCGCTGCTGCAAAATGATATAAGGTGGGATAACCACCGGCAGATCCACAACAGCCACCAGCTGCAATGCTTGCCCAGGTGCGCTGCTGCAAAATGGTAAGGTGGGATAACCACCTGCAGATCCACAACAGCCTTGGTCTCACTTTGTTTGGCAAAAGCGCGTTTTCGTTTCGTTTCTATTCACATTTGAAAGCTGACTGCTACTGCCCTGGCTACAAACAAACCTGTACCGTATGAATGCCACTAACAAAGCCACGACGGCTTGCTGCACTGCTCCTATTGGCCTGGTGATAAAGCCACCACTACTTCAACCAAATGCCACTGAGCATCAGCTTGCTTTTCCCAATGGCTTCGACAGGATGCCACTAAGGCGTCACAGATCTAGAAAACAAAGCAGAAATCTTTCATTGCTTTTTGTCTTCTTGCAATTCGTTAGTGGCATTTGGTCCCTGACAATAGGATTTGCAATTTAGACGTTGGTGGCATTTCACCCGCAACAGTAGAATTTGCGTCCTGCCAATGGGTTTGGCGTTAGTGGCACCGCCAGTGGCATTGCGTGTGACCTAGGGTCTGTCCATGCCATGCAAGGCTAGTAGCCTATAGGTCTTGTGTCCAACAACATTCTTCCATCGAAGCTACTTTTTCTTGCACCACTTCAGCGGCAAGTCAGCGCACGTCTGCGCAAGGTGACACAGCTGCAGCTACATCAAAGCAAGCTTTGAGCTTCTTGAAAGACTGCCGCATGTATAGTTTTTCCTGGCCAGCAGGAGAGCATGCAGAGCATACAGTGAGACAAGGAAAGGCGACTGGTGCCTTAGGCACGGCCATTTGGTTGGGAAGCTTTCAGGGCCAGGAGCCACGTGAGGGCAGGCGACTGGTCTTAGGCACGACCATTTTCTTGGGAAGCTTTAAAAGGCCAGGAGCCACAGGCGACTGGTGCTTTAGGCACGGCCATTTGCTTGGGAAGCTTTCAGGGCCAGGAGCCAAGTGAGGTCTTCAGCGGTCAGCTTGCCAGCTTGCTGCAGGATTCGGCGGCGCTTCTTCTCCTGTGGGATCTGATGCTAGATAAAAGGTTTTGCATGGTTCACACTTCAACCACGACCTTTGTTGTCTGCCTGGGGAAATGCTCCCGCCTGCAGCTTCACTTCTCGACTGGCTTGCTGCAGCTGCCTCTTCAACTCTTTGCGCTGCGCTTTCAGGGCAGCCAAAGCGTCTTGAGCTGGAGCTAGGACTGGCGCAGCGCGGCCATCGGCTTGCCCATCAGCACCAGCAGCACCATCGACTGACGACATGGCTGAGGAGGCTTTGAAGCTGCTGTGGCTGCTGCGACCCAAACACTGCAGGGCGACAGGATCCACGGTGTGGCTCATGTGCATCAGTGTGGCTATTCGAAAGAATAGCCGGTCACACCCAATGTCCAAACACTAGGAGTTATATAAACATATAAACAATTAAACATTGGTTTGAACTGCTAATTTCCCAAAAAGAAAATGACAGCTTGCACCCAAGGTTTTCCAGTTATGCGGTGACTTCAATCATTGGCAAAATGCCACACTACAATTCCACCATACGCTGATCATGGTCTCGGCTTGCGACCCCAAAAATGGAGTCGCAAAACATGTCCAAAAGAATCTCTTATACCATGTACCCTCATAGTTTCATAGGATCTGGTTTTGCATTCATTTTTCCCCAGCTGGAAGCAAAGGCATTCAAAGCAAAGCTTTGTATGCGTACACGATTTGGCGTCGCTCTGGCCAGATACACAAGGTCTCAGCTCGGGTCGGTTTCTCAGAGCCCGGGAAATGGGACGGGCTCTTCATCAAATGTTGCAGCTCCTTGTGGAGGGACTGCACTTGCGCAGGCCTGCTGCAACCGACACATTCAAAACTCCTTTGCCACGCTTTAGCAGCAAAGAACTCACGCGGGCATTGCATGAGCTGCCAAAGCCATGCGACTGGGTCGACAAGGCCGTCTTCAGACAGTGAACGCAATTCTGCGTGCTTCTGTCTCAGAAAAGATTTGAAAGCAGAGAAGCCGCAAAGGTCAAGCGGCTGCAACAGAGGTGTTGTCTGTGCGGGTATGTACAGCAACTGCAGTTTGAATTTTCGGGCCGACATCATGACTTCACGTGGCAGGTGTGCTGGCGCACAGTCAAGCAGGAGGATTGGCAGCTTGGTTGGGAAAGGCTTGAGTGCTTCTGCAATACCTTGAAAAACGACGCGCATATTGGCAGCACAACTCCGGGCGGACGCCTGGCGGATGATTTGCAAACGAGTCTGCGGCAAGGCGCGCTGCGCTCGCAGCACTTTGTTGGTCAGCTTGGTCTTGGTAGCAATCAAGTAATGGGGCAACATCCCTTGGATGTCCTTGGAGTCACAAATAATGCTGATATAAGTCATAGCTCCCCGAACATTCTGCTTCAACACGGATGCTGCCGGCAGGCGGCTACCAGGTGCTGCTGCAACACACCCCATTGGGCACTGCATGCTGTATGGGACGCTAGTCTCATCCAAATTCAAAAACAACAGCTCCTTGTCTGCAAACTTGGCATCCAAATAGCGAACCATCCGCCAGAAAGCTGTCACCTGTCAGGGACCAAAAAGTTGCAGCAGGCTGGTCCCAGGAACTAAAAAAAAAGCAATCTCTGTGGCCCAAAAATGGGATCACGTTTTCCACATGGTTTTAATTGCTGGGCTACTTGGTGGGACCAGTTTTGGGGCCGGATTTCGACCCCAGAAATGGGACCGCAAAATGCAACAAAAACGGGGCCAGCCTTTTGTTTGAGGGTCTCCGGATTGTGTCGCACTCCCTGGCGCAAAGTCTTGCGGCATATGCCCCAATGACCTCGCCACCGCTTTGCCCACTGGTTGACTGAGCGCTTCTTAGGAATGCCAATCTCCAGCTTGGAGCCATGGAGCTCCTGCTCCCAATGCAAAAAAGCATTCATCGAAGAAGGGGCAACACCATGCGAAATGTTCATATCTCTGACCCATTCAGCTGTTGCAGCTGCCGCCAGAAATTTTTGCGCGCGCCCCGCAGCCTTCGCATCCAGTGTAGTAAATTCTGCTTCGGGAATGGCCAGGAGAAGTTCTTCTACCAAGGCCTTGGTGGGATACCCCGGCGCCTGTGGGTCTTT